CTCGGGGCACATCCTGCATCAAGGATCCCTTAACAATGGACTATACTCATTCTCGAAGAACAATAAATCTATCCAGCCATGCTCCTTCTCTGCCACTCGGGTTCCTTATTCTCTTTGGCACAAAAGACTTGGCCATGCATCACCATTAGTCATCAGACAAGCAGTTTCTCATTTTTTCCTTCCAGTTGCAAATAAGAGACAACATGTGTGTCCAGATTGTCAAAGTGCTCGTAGCTGCACCTTACCATTTAAAAACAATCATTCTTCTTCTGTTTTACCTTTGGATTTAATTTATACTGATGTTTGGGGTCCCGCATCAGTTCTTTCTACAACTGGTGCTAGGTACTATGTCAGTTTCTTGGATGATTGCACCAAATTTTTATGGTTATTCCCTCTTAAATTAAAGTCTGATGTTGAATCTATTTTTCTTCAGTTTCAAACTTACGTTGAACGTTATTTTGAGCGAAAAATAAAAGCCATTCAATCTGATTGGGGAGGCGAATATCGTCGTCTTTCCAATTATTTTAAAACAATCGGAATTCAACATCGTGTTTCATGTCCACACACTCATCAACAAATGGGTGCTATTGAACGTAGACATAGACAAATAGTTGAGGTTGGTTTAGCTTTACTCTCACACTCTAACTTACCTCAATCATTTTGGGAGGATGCATTTTTAACTGCCACATATATTATTAATCGCCTTCCAACACCAATCTTACAAAATAAATCCCCATACGAAGTGGTTTACAAACAAAAACCGAAATATAATTTTTTTAAAACATTTGGATGTGCTTGCTGGCCATATTTACGTCCTTACAATTCTCATAAGATTGATTTTCGTTCAAAAACTTGCATCTTCATTGGCTACAGTCTTAATCATCATGGATACAAATGTTTGGACCTTGTAACTGGAAAAATATATGTGTCTCGTCATGTTATTTTTGATGAAAATTTCTTTCCTTATGATGGCACTAAATCCTCATCTTCTACCAACCAAATGGTTACCATCCCTGTAATTCCTAACTTGCATCAGTCTATTCCTTTGGATCCTCTGACCAATTCTGCAGGTAATTTGCAACATGTACCAGCTTCAGATCAGTATATTGATCCAGCACCATCACAGCTGTCGCCTGTGCAGGTTGGGGAACCTTCATCTCTCCCTATTGAGACTGATGTTGTTATGTCTAGTTCACAAGAATCGTCCTTGGAGACCACTATTTCAGTACCAGCTGCTACAAATACCAACACTCACAGCATGGTCACACGCTCCAAAAACAACATTTATAAACACAAGCAACCTACAGATGGCTCTATTCGTTACCCCCTACCTCGGGCATTAGTAGCAACAAACAATTATTTAGACACCGACCCTACTTGCTACTCGGAAGCTGCCAAACATGAGCATTGGCGAAAGGTAATGAATCAGGAATTTGATGCACTGATGAAAAACCAGACATGGAACCTTGTACCTCCCAAACCAAACCAGAATGTTGTTGGTTGTAAATGGATTTTTAAGATCAAAAGACATGCAGATGGCTTGATTGAACGATACAAGGCCAGACTGGTAGCTAAGGGATATCACCAACAATTTGGCATAGACTTTTATGAGACCTTCAGTCCTGTGGTAAAACCTTCTACAGTTCGTCTTGTATTGACTATTGTTGTGGCTCGTGGTTGGATCTTGCGCCAGATTGACATACAAAATGCATTCTTACATGGTCAGCTTCAAGAGGAGGTCTATATGACACAACCTCAAGGTTTTCTTCATCCTCAATTTCCAGATTATGTGTGCAAACTTCAAAAATCTCTATATGGACTTCGACAAGCTCCTCGACAATGGTTTGCAAAATTAACTGACACGTTGCAGCAGCTTGGCTTCACTGGTAGTAAGGCAGATACTTCATTATTTATTTATCAGGACACTACAAGCATCATCTACATCCTCATCTATGTTGATGATATCATCATCACAGGAACCAATGCTCCCGCTGTAAATTGTCTAATATCTCGTCTTCATCAGAAATTCGCAGTTAAGGATCTTGGCACGTTGTCATATTTTCTTGGAGTTGAAGCACTCCACTCTCCTGAAGGTGTTTACCTTACTCAAAGAAAATACATCGTTGAACTCCTGAAACGCAGTAATATGGATCGTGCCAAACTCTGCCTTACACCACTCTCTACAACCACTAGTTTATCCTCCACTGATGAGGGTGACTTTGAAAATCCTTTCTTGTACCGCAGTATTGTTGGAGGTTTACAATATCCATCGTGTCAGCAAGTTCATGCATTGCCCCAAGACCTCACATTGGCAGACAGTAAAACGTATCTTGCATTTTCTAAAACATACAGTCTCTCATGCCTTGCTATTGTCTCGTTCATCTGATCTTCAGTTTCAAGCATTCTCAGATGCAGACTGGGCGGGTGATAAAGATGATCGTCGTTCCGTAGGAGCTTATTGCATCTTCCTTGGCAATACCTTGATCTCTTGGCAATGTAAACAACAATCTACCGTGGCTCGTAGTAGCACAGAGGCAGAATACAAAGCACTAGCCAATACAGCTGCTGAATTACTTTGGCTGCAATCACTCACCAAGGAACTTGGTCTTTCCATGTCACAACCACCTGTACTTTGGTGTGATAATATTGGAGCTACTTACCTCACTGTTAATCCGGTCTTTCATGCTTGAACCAAGCATATTGATATCGATTTTCATTTCGTACGCGATCTGGTCACAAGGAAACATCTGATTGTGAAATTTATCTCCAGTCGTGATCAAGTAGCTGATCTTTTAACAAAACCACTATCGGTTACACGCTTTACAACTCTTTCAGACAATCTCAGTCTCCGTAGCCTACCCCTGAGATTGCGGGGGCGTGTTGAAGACCAAGTATTTCACAATACTCAACCACCTGAATTGTAGGAGAAGATCAGGATCCTAGCTAGTCTGTTATTCAATTTAAATTCAAATGTCATGTGTAG